AAGTCAGTTAAATAAATTATTGAAAAACGATGCGTCAAATAAGTCCAACGGTCAACTTTTCTTAATTGAAATCCTAGTTTGACTTTTTGAGTGAAACTTGTTAAACTTTGACCGCTAATTACTCAAAATTAATAACATTTTGTCCCCAAAAAAATTATTTGATACGGAGTATGTTTAATTGTAATATGTATTATTCATATGTCAATTTATTATAGATTTTATAGGTATATATTTATAGATAATTATGGTCAAACATCCAGCTAGAAGACCGCAAAAGTCAAACTGGGACTTTAATTTAGGGATGGGGCCACGGGGGATATAATTCTCCATTTGTAAAAAAAAATCAGATTTTTAAAAATTTACAAATTTAACAATATATTTTTCAAAAAATATATTAATACATACATAAATAAATAAAACGTAATCAAAGTAGAACATGTGAATATTGTAAAATTCAATATGTTGCACTTATTTAAGAACGGAGATAATATAAAAAACACAGTGTTTTTGATTAATTTATTGAACTACCTTCATGATTGCATTTTAAGGTAAACTTTAGTAGACATAGTAATCTACATTTCATGCAAAACATGCTCACAAAAATTCATCAAAACATCCACCTGATAGTAGTTCAAATGGAAGCAGTCGGACGATGGTTTCATTTTGGTCTGGGCTGACTAGAATGGCCATCTAATTAATTTATGTTTAATTAGGGAATTAAAAAAATGTAATTCCAACCATTCTTCTTGTACACACTTCTTTATATAGTAATTGTTCCATATAGGACTAAAACAAGAGTGAAATACAAAAAATAGCATTTGTTATGCTTTCTTCCTTTAATAGGACCAACTTACTCCTATTATTAAACACATGAAAATCGGCGTCTCACTTTTGCCCTTGCATCCATTTACACTTCACTCTCCCCTTATCCCTTCATAGGTCAATCGATTCCTTCTGCAGACCCCAAAGCAAAGAGCTAACTGCATCTCATCTTCTCCATGCAGATCTGTCGATCCAACACACAACATCGCCCACTCCACCCCACCGTGCCTCCGCCGCTTCTGCCTTCGTTGCCTCTGCTTCGCCACCTTCTTCATCCACCATCATCGTATTTATTTTCCTCCGAATTTCAGATTTTTTCTATTTGTTATTCTCCATCTCATTCTCGTTCTTCTTCTTCTTCTTCTTCTTCTTCTTCTTCTTCTTCTTTATCTTGTTCATATTTCTATTCTTCAGTTTTTCAGGATTCTGACATGGATTTTGCCAATTTTCAAACTTTTTTTTTCATATTTCATCAAATTTTAATTTTACATTTTAAATTTAAATTAAAATAAAAACTGAATGGGGGCATTTTCGTACAAATAGGTGGTTTTAAGTCCTATGCATAGATTCATTTTTGGTCCTATTTGTGCACACATAACTTGTTTTAGTCCTAAATAGGTTATTAACTCTTCCTTATACAAAACTTATACACAACTCTGTGACAAGACTATTTTTGTTGAGTGAATCTGGTTCACAAACAAAATACGATGTTAAATAAATTCAATGACATGTTTTATTTGCCCATTCTCATGGTTTATAAGAAAATGGGTTAGAAATAGATTTTTTATATAATTCGTATGGTACCTGCTTGTTTTCGATGCCCTGGATTCACTTCCAAGAATCAGGGAAATGATGTGACTTGTGATTGGGATCCCACTGAGATCACGAAAGTCTTGCACCCTCTCCCAGATCGCCTTTCTACGCCACACCTCCTTCTTAGCCACAACAATAGCAGCTGCATACATATATAGTAAATATTTAAACTAATTTAACTAATGTGATTCAAATTTAAACAGCAACCTAGTTGTCTTAATTTTAAATCTTTATATACATATAACCCTAATCGTCGAGTTTTCGATAGGGATATTTTGACTTTGCACCATATTATTCTTAAAATAAAAAACATTTGTCATTACATCTTATTCACAAATTTTTCTTCAAAAAAATGTTATAGGATGGGTACAAAATCTAATATCACCTATCAAGTGGAATGTAGTGTGAATTTTTTTGTTTTAAATATCACGCGGTAGGTATCTAATTATCCAATCCCCAGGTGAGCTTATCACCCATTCCTTCTAATTTTCAAATTAGTGATACTTTGAATGAATGAAAGTATGAATCGAAGGAAATAAAACGTACATTAGCTTAAGCTCAATGATTTTTCTTTTCTTGTTTGTTAAAAATTAAAACTCGTTTTGTTTATTTTTTCCTGCTTCATGAAGAATTATATATAGAGACTATGAATTAAAAAAACTTCCTAATTACCATTTTGGTTCCTTTCCTTAGCACAGATCCAAACATATTACTACGTATATTCTTAGGCTTCAGAAATAAATAATGTTTAATTAGTGTAAACTTAACACAAATAAAAATATAACTCTTTTTAATATATACCGTTTTAAAATGTTTCCAGCACACAAGCCTTAAATTTATGTTGACATTTCAAAATATTTAATTTCTCGCATACACTACGGGGATGTATTGTATTAGGAATTAGTGGCAAAATTTTAAAAGTTCATGGATTTTAAAAGTTTAGGTGTATTCAATGTGGACTTTTAAAAGTACAAAAGTCTACGTGTATTCAATGTAGACTTTCAAAAGTCTATAAAAGTCTAGACATATTCAAAGTTTCGTTCATTCTTATGGATTTCTAAAATCATGGATTCTCGTGGACTTTTAACTCATTTCTACCACATACATACACTTGTATTAGAGCACATAAACGTAATATATACGTTGACTTTTAACTAATTAATTACACCCCTTCCACTTTCACCACATACACTTGTACTACACTATATACAAGTGTATTTCTACCACATACACTTGTATTAGAGCACATAAACGTAATATATACGCATAGAAGATATAAAAAGAATATAGTTTAATTTTTATCAAACAAATCAATTTGTATTTTGTTCCCAAAAACGTTTCAACTCTATTTTTACCATTTTAATGGCACGCTAATTTACCATGTGCGGCAGCAACAACAGGCACGGGTGCCGGTGTAGTAAATACGAAGGACCTTCCCTTTGATTGTATAAGCTGCTTCCATTTACCGCTGTTTAATTAGCATTAACAAAAATGTAACAAAAATTAAAAAAAAATGTAACTTAAATTTAAAAAATAATATGTTTAATATGAAATTATTTAAAATTAAGATTTAAATGAAAATATGTTTTTTAAAATATATTTTCAAAAATTTATCATTAATGACTTAGAAAAATCAATATATAGCGAATTTAATTTTTGTGACACTGGGGGAGTAGTTTATATGTGTAATAAAGTGGACATTAATTTGGAAGTTTAGAAAAATGATTAAGGAAAAGATGAGAGCACCTGCAAGCAATGAACCCACCAACAGAACCTGCAGCCTTGCTTAAAGTACCTATGCTTATGTCCACTTCTTCTTCACAGTTAAACATCTCAGCTGCACCCCTTCCACTTTCACCACATACAAGGGTTGCATGAGCCTGTAATGAACTAATTAATTAATAGGTAGTACAAAGTATTAAATACATTGAAGCGTCTAATGAATTGCGATTTGCATATTTATTTGTATAAGTGCATCTTTATAAATGAGAAATTTATACATTCTTTCTTATCACCAATTCAATCGCTAATATTCACATATACGATGACATTTTTGCAAATATTTTAGAATTAGGGTTAAGGGTAAATAGGTCCATGTACTCTTCTGGATTGCTCAATTTGTCCCCACAAACTCAAAAAAGCTCCAATTGGCACCTTGAACTCGATAGTAACTTGTAATTATTAGTTACTACGTAGTAACTTGTTTTTTGCATAAATTTTTAGAATTATACGATGACATTTTTGCAAATATTTTAGAATTTGTTTTTTAAGTTTGTAATTATTAGTTACTACGTAGTAACTTGTTTTTTGCATAAATCTTTTATAGTTAATTACTATTTTCATTTTATCATCTTGATAGATAGTGGTTCTAATTTATTAGAAGGGGAAAAAGGCCTAATTTTTTCTCTTGCACACGGCCTCCGCTTTTTAGGACCGGCCCTGATGAGGAAAAAGTGTTTGCTGTGAGAAGTATTTTCATAAAAACTCTCATATAAATTAAATAAATAGTATTGTACTTCAATTGTTCATATTGTTCTTATTTGAATTTCATGTTCATCAATGCATAACTCTAATAATTCATATATCTATATGGCTAGTATTAATCATAAAAAATTATATTTTGAATATCAATATTGTCATATTGAGGTAGGTTACATAATATGATTTTTAATTCATTAATTAATAACTATATGTTTAAACTATTGGAGCAAATTAAGAATATAAAAAAGTTTGTAGATAAAAATTTAATTTGGGGCACTTATAAAACTATTGACTCTATATATGGTCTAGACTCTAGACACAAGCCCAATTATCCATATTTGATGCAGCTATGATTCCATGAACAACTGGGTTTGTGTCTAGCCCAATTTGAGCTTTATATGAGAAATGTTGAATCGGTGCATATAGAGAGTGTCCAGATATTACTTAAATTTATACAAATTTAATTTATGTACATTTTTAACTACTATAGATAAACTATAAAAATGACATCCCATTCTAAAAATCAATGATTTTTTGTATTATTTGTTTTCAAATCAAGAATTTAGTCATTTTTATGTTCATGACGCTAGAAAACATAAAACGAAACTAAATTAGTTTAGTTTTTTCTGCTTGAATAAAACATTATAGCTCCCTTAAGTATTATTTAAAAGCTTCATAAAACTTTTGAACTAAAAATTAAGGGACAAGGATTTAGTATCTAATAAAAATATGAAATATTTATGTCGTTTGTGTATAATAATTTTTCCTCAATTATAATTTAGGAAAAATAACAATGATATCAAAGCTAAAATATGGAATAAAAAGCTCATGTAGCCGTCTCAAAGTAAACTTACATCATCAATAGCCAACAAAAATCCATGCTTGTTACGAAGCTTGACAAGCTCACCCAATGGTGCAAAGTTCCCATCCATACTAAACAAACTAGTAAATCAAAAAGAAAAGAAAAATGAATCAAAATTTGTTTTCATTCATTCTATATTTTGATGGAAGGAGTACGTAGTTGTTAAGACTAAGCCAACCTATCTGTGATGACAACCTTTTTCTTCATTCTGCATCCAGTTCTGTAAGAATTCATTTACAAGACTAATCATCAGATCAGATAAGAATATAAGATTATAAGAAACATGAACAAGAAATAGCAGAAAGGGAACAAGAATTGAAAGCCTTAACATACAATAGTTCATTAAGGTGGGACATGTCACAGTGTCTGTAGACATAAACAGAAACACCCTTTTGTTTCTCAGCAATGCGAATACCATCAATGATTGATGCATGGTTCAGAGCATCAGAAAATATGGCCACCCTTTCCTCTTCCAGTAAGGGTTTCTCACCTGCAGCTAACAGAAGGCTTATACTGCCCACAGCTGTTATAAATGCCACATTGGCTGCATAGCCTGATGCACAGAGAAGGCAATCCTAGCAGTATATGTAAAACAACCAAAGAGAATGTATCAGTTAAAACAACTATATGGAATTATATATGGAATTATATTAAGATTTGAGATTTCATTCGAGTAACTCAAGATCAAATATACTGCGTATTATTGTATTACTCCGTATAGTATATAATAAAAGTACTAATTTAGTGTATTAATTAATAATTAGCTCTGACTGACTAATTAAGTTTGCAACATAAGGGGTTGTGCCATTATTAAAACACTTTAATTTATGTGGCTATTATTGAATTAGCAAAGTATAAATGAAACAAAAATAATCTAGAACAACACCAAGAATACGGTATTTGGTATGGGAAAAGGTGAACAATTTTTTACCATATCAGTATAGAATACAATTGACTTTTCATCCCATTTTTCAGAAAAGTTAATGCATGCACTCCATTCTATTGTTAACCGATTAAGTTTTCACTCTATTCCTTCACCAGGTTTCAGTTGGTGGGTCGCATACATTAATTGCTCTAAAAATGAGATGTAAAGTTTAATATCACCTTAAAATGGGGTACAAAGTTAATTTTGTCTTACATCAATGAGCTTTGCTACGGTCTGACCTGAACAACTCTAATATGGTCCGCCGCTAGATGCTAATATGGTTTGATTTAATCTAGTTTGATCTAGCCAATTTAAGTCTGGTCTTGGTTAGGACTAAAATCGGTCTAACAACTGAGTTGTACTTTAATAATATGTAAAATGTTCTTTGTACACTCCGACTTACACGCCAATTGTTTTTTGTCTGTGCGCAGACAATTGTTTTAATTTTAGTTAAGGAAAATGTCTCTGACCCGAAAAGATGAATCGTTTGTGCCCGAAGAGTGAATTGTTTTTACCACAAACAATAAATTTTTTCGGGATCACAAACATTATATTGTCTTTACAAAAAAGAAAATCACAGGTAAAAGAAGTGGTGTGTAAGTCGACGTGTACACGTAAAATGATGTAATAATATAAGAAGTATACTATATACTGAACTACAAGTAAGGAACATATGTAAAATATTCAATTATGTTTCTTTCATCCATTAACTTAAAGTACATGGTCGAAGATACAAGCTAGAGTGCTTGGGAATGTGAGAGATCCATACTTCCTTTCTTTTAAGGTCTGCCAAAGTGGATTCCAATAATCTATGATAATATGTATATCCACATATTAAGGGAGATCCTCTTGGACCCATTCCTTGCCTTTGCACGGCCTAGTCATGCAAACCATAATAACAAGTTAGCTATATGAGAAACGGAGGGAGTATATATATAGCGAGGTGAATTTATACTAAACAACAAAATGAAATAGACATAATAGTTACGTACAATTTGTCCATATAATGAACTGAATTGCTCCCGGCCTTATGCTCTTAAGTACATTTATTTGTCTTGAAATAAAATGGTACAACTCCGGTACCCATTTAAAAAATGGGGTACCGTACCTATCACTCACTTGATTGGTTCAAATCATTACATCGTTTTTATATTAGATTTAAATAATTCAACTACAGCATTCTGATTGATCCATGTGGACAAAGGTATGGTACTTTAAGGTAAGGGTACCATAGAATCTACCTTCAAAATAACCTTACTTGATAATATCAACTTCACTTGATTTCGAAAGAATAATATATGTAATGAATTGTATTATTAACAAGCTGATTACATCATAAAAAAAGTGTCATTGCGGTCTTTTATAATGACCACTACAAAAATACATGGGATTGAAAGAGATTTTGGATGGGATTTGGCAGGGATTTTGGCAGAGATATGCCAATTCTGTGCCAAAAACACTTTGGCACGAGCTATTTGGCACGAAAAAATGGTAAGTTCGTGCCAAATTCCGTGCAAATCTCGTAACTTTTTTGTAGTGGACGAGATTAGGTACATGCCTACATTATTGCATGGGGTTTAAAGGACCAAACCCCCTCATGATATAGAAATCCAGCGTATTAGCCCCCTCTGATTTGAAAAATGCATCAAACCCCCTTGTGTTTTAATTAATCATGCACAGAATCCCTTTTGTAAATAAATTTAATGATTTTGAAATCACTTTTTCTAATATTCTGATTGAATATGCAAGTAAATATGTCAAAGTCTCCAAATCATACAAAAATGTTAATCAATTTTCTTTTATTTGACAATTGAATTTGTTCATAGAAGGGATTTTGCGCATAATTAATTAAAACACAGGAGGGTGACGCATTTTTTAAATCACACGGAGCTAATGCGTCGAATTTCCATATCATTTGTGTTGCATGTTTCGTTTCACAATAAATTGATCGGACTACATGACTTTAATTAATTGGGATATGAATTTGATAACAATGGTGTGTACTGAATAATAGAATAAATCAATCCATTCATTACATTCAATATGTTTTGGAGAAAGTAAATGGAGCTAAGAATTAATGTTATGGAGTATTTTTCTTCATTTAGTAGTAATTTATATATCAAAATGAACAAATACGATTTCTAATTTCTATATATACTATTTCCTCATTAATTACAATTTATTGTGTTGTGATAAACATTTCACCTGTGTTACTGCTTTGACGATACTTGGGTGAGAACTCAATCCCAAGTAATTACTTCCAGAGAATAAAAGTAACTTCCTGTATTTTTCACCAGAAGCCCCATCGTCGTCACCCGCCCAAACATTTTCATCGCCAGGCAGCTGGTCGTCTCCTATAAAAAATAAGAAAAATTTCGCAAACACATTCATAATCGGATCAAATCAGATCAAATTAGATCAGATCAAATCAAATCAGATCAAGTCAGAACAGTTCAGACATGTATCAAACCAAACCAGATCAGAAAATTCGAGTCTAAATAAAAACATTTTATTCCCTAACTTATAAATTTGTTTAATTTTATGGTGTAACTACATTAAGTGTGTGTGTGTGGGGTTATACTTACATTTGTAATCACATTCATAGTTATTTTTTTTTTGGAAGAAATCACATTCATAATTATTAAATATTCAATTTCTAATTTATGTGTATTATTTACTCCCTCCGTCCCAAAAACAACTTCTCAGTTTGACTAGCACACACATTTAGGTAGATTAAAATTTTGGTTTGACTTTCCCAAATTTTTACTATTTTGACACTGTTTAGCACTGTTTGGACACTGTTTAACACTGTTTGTCACTGTTTGACACTGTTTTGATGTTGATAATTTGCCAAATAAGGAAGTGGGAAGAAGTGTGAAGTTAATTTTGGGACATCCATTTAAGGAAAGTGGGAAGTTGTTTTTGGGATGGAGGGAGTATAATTAGTAAGTATTAACTAATTAATGCATATTACTTATATCAAGTATATATATGTGTATTCATGGTTCTATATGTATCAACTTTTAAGGATATTTTAAATTGGATTGAAATTTTTCGGTCTGATATGGTCTGATCCGGTCTGCTCTGTTTAAGTTTGGCTTGGTCTGAACGTATATGATCTGGTACGCTGGTCTCGTAGATGTCAGGTGTATGTGCATTTTACAACTGTCAAAGTGATCAGATGTGATTTAGTTTGTTTAAGTTTGTACTGATTTGATTTATTTAAGTCTGTTCTGATCTGATTAAGTTTGATACTTAAACTCATCCAAGTAAAAATTAAAAAGTAACTCCAAACATCTGCAAATCATGTTACAAGAGTAACAAGACAAACACCCCATAAACTTAGGATGTTTTTAAATTAATTGGACTGAAATTTATTAGTCTGGTCTGATCTGATCTGTTTAAGTCAGGTTTAGTTTGATCTGAACTAGTATGGTCCGGTCTGGTAAATGTCTGGTCATGTACAAGTATTTTCTTTTGTATCTAAACAACAATAATATATGGAGTATATACGAACCCAAAGTCCAGTTTCACTCAAACTTGAGGAAGAGGAAATGTCCATGGAGATATTTTGACTAAATCGTAAGTTGTGTTTAAAATCAAGGAGAAGTGTGTACTTAATCATGAAATCGAAGAAAACCTTTATATAAAATGAGCAGACGAGAAGCATGCAATATATTACCAGAACTGGGTGCATCTTGCATCCATTTTTGGAAAGTAGCTTCGGCAATGAAGACTTCAACTGAGGCCCTGTCCCACAGGCGCAAATCGTTGAACACTTGGAGCTGGTCATTGCCGGGAAAAGAGTGGCGGCGGCCGCTTGCTTGCACGCCGGGTTGGGTGGTGTTTAAGGGAAGGATGGGCCTAATAGCTCGGAGGAGTTTGAGAGAATGGAGTCTGGAAAGAGCTTCCTCTACCCACAAATCCCAGGAACTCATCTTCTGCTTTAGCTGATTCAAAGGCTATAGAATAACAATGAGATTGATAGATGAATGGAATTTGGTTCTAGCAGCAGGTAAGCCTGATTGCCTAAATATATATAGGACTACATTATTTCGCTTAATATTCTTTGTGTCACACTCTAATTCTACTCGTCTCTTATAACTTTGTCAACTTTTCTTTTTGGTTGTCTCAAAAACTTTGTCACTCTCCCTTTTAATCAATCAATTTGTGTTTCCTGTTATTTCTGCCTCCTCTGCACAAATATTTACCAAAAAAAATTTAATTTATTATTCTACGTGCCGGTCAAACTTGGCAAACCTTTAAGGGACGGAGGGAGTATCATTTTTCCTTTTTTCATCTGTTTCATTAAAATTGTCTCATGTCATATTTAGTAATATATGTGTGACTCTAATTAATTTTTACTTTATTTTCACTTTATCAATTCATTATCAATCACATAATTCTGTTTTTATTAAAAACCGCACTACTCTTCTTTGTCCCAATCTTGGAGGGACGGAGGTAGTAATAAGTAAGAGTTGTTTAGATCTACTTCTTTATACTTGTAAGTAATAAGGACTGTTTGGATCTATTTTTCGTAAAACTATGTCTACTTCTTGCAGGAGCAATAGCATACTTTGTATCTTGTAGTGTTTGAATGAAAGTGCAAAACAACTTCTAAGTGTTTCGGAATCCTCGTATAAGCAATTTTTAAAAGTCGAGGGCGAGCTTTTGAAAAATTGGTCTTGATTCAACTTCAGTTTAAAAAATAAAGCAGAAGCAGAAGTATACTAAATTTTAAACACTCCCTTAGTGCAATAAATAAATAAATAAATAAATAAACAAGTAAATAAATAAATAAATAAATAAATAAATAAATAAATAAATCAATAAATAAATCAATAAATAAATCAATAAATAAATAAATCAATTTTGCAAATCAATTTGGGATGGTGGTGGTGCTATTTTTCTTCGTCAACACAAGTGCTTTGTATTCTCTTATTTTCAGTTACCAGCTTTTTTCGTACTCTAAAATATACTAATAATCAAGAACTTAAGATATGAATATTGTCAATAGATCGAAATGATTAAAAACTATCAATCAAATATATAAATTACATGTACCCAATAACATATCTTCATTTCTTTATTTTTATGAGATTTTATCAATTCAAGACCTAGAAGTTAGTCCACCATCAATAAGAGGTATGGAAGATAAATTGTGAAGATATAGGGTCTAAATGATCAAAAACTATCAATCTAAGATCTAAATTTCATTAAAGTTTAATAATTTTTATTTTAAATTTTTAAATTTTATTTAGTCTTAGAGAATTAACAAGTTTCTGTAAAAAAAAAATCATAATGGAATTAATTAATAAAACACATCAACATCTAGGATATATATTTTAGGCCTGAGATTAATAGTTCTTAATCATTTAGGTCCTATATTGATACACATTTTTATCGATACACTTTATGTTACAGGCCCCTTTGAATATATCTGATATTCCATGTTCATGATTGATAAAATTTCATTTTTATTTATTTTATCGCTAGTCTTTGATGATATAACTTCACAAAAGTTTATTAGTATAATAAAATTTATTAATATTTAAAAAAAGTAAAATATATGATGATGGAGTATATGGCCCGGGAACCCCCGGCCCACAGACTCCTACTACTCCAGCGAAGGCCCAACAGGCCCAAAAGGCCCAACAGGCCCAAATCACAGTGCCCCGAGTATCAAGCAGCCCGCGCAACGCGCCAGGGGTGCCTTCGGCCCCCTGGCCGAAGGCTCCAGATTCTCACAGAGCGGGTTCCTCAAGCAAACTAAGAAACTGGGAGAAAACGGCGAAAACAGTAGCCCTCGGTACTGTAAGCCCTCGGCACCAAGGTGCCCTCGGTTGGAGGAGCCTTCGGCTACTGCCCTATGACCGAAGGCATCTCACTCGACAAGATATCCGCCTCACATGCGTACAGATCACCGTACCCTGCACAGACGTCCCATCCAACAGCCGCATTAAATGCGGCCACATGCGGTTGCCAGCGCCAACCAGTTGAGGTGACCCCTCGGCCAATGAGCGCTTGACACGTGTCCCTGCCCGGCATTTATTGCTGCTATAAATAGCACCCTTTTTCCTCATTTGTAACCACGCTGAAAAGTGATAACACACTGAATACGCTCTCTCTCTACTTTTATTTACTTGCTCTGGCTTCTCTCTAAATTACTCCCCGTAGTAACCCTTCGGATATATACCCCCGGGTAGACTATCCATCATTTGGTGCTTTCATTGAGAGGTTGAACAATCGAGTAAGAAACCCTCCCCCTCGACCAAACACAAAACACTAGCCCTCTATCAAAATGGTGAGGACAACGCGTGCCAACTCAAAGAACGTAGAAGACAAGAACCTGCCCCTCGGCGACGTCAACGCCCCCGAAGCCTCTCACAGGGCTCCCGAGGGCGGTGTCCTCGCTGGGCTGGAACAGGCGGCTGTCGACCTACGCCTTCAGATCCAACAAAACGCCCCCGATGCCCGCCTCGGCATCGAGGCCAAGAAGAAAAACCGGAGCGATGACCAAGTCAGCCCTCCGGTTCTCACCATCGACGTACAATCGGCGCTCTCCGCCTTCATCCAAACGCTCACCCAGAACCCGGGTGCCTTCGGCACCCTGGCTCCAGCTCACCCTCAGATCGGGGAAAATATCATACTTCCCCCTCTGCCACACCCCTTCGGAAATCCCACCCCTCGGGTGAGAAACGACGAAGGGGTGGTGGCCCAAGAAACATCCTCCCAGGAAGTTCAATCCCGGGACCGCCATAATGACAACAGGGAGAGGCCCCGTACTTCCGCCCTCAACCGGCTCGGAGGAGGGCCAGACCGCCGAGGGGTCCAAGACCGCCTCGGGGGGAAAGCACTTCAAAGGCCCCAGGAAAGCGGGGGATCTGTTTCGAGGGCAGACGAGGAGCGTCCCCCTCGGGACAAAGGCAAGGCGCCCCTTCATGCCGATGATGCTCGGCACCAAATCAACCAGGCCCACTCGGCCCGGGTTCGTTCGCAGGGGGCGGAGACCCTCCCGAGGGACTCCCGGGACGAGATTATTGCGGCCCTCCAGCGCCGGCTTGACGAAATGGAGTCCAACAAAGCTCACGCCACCACCTCCACCCCTCACTCAGATCTCAAATACGAGGCCATGATGGCCAAAATGGAGGAGTTACAGAAGAAGGTGGCCGAGGGCTCCGGGGAACCCGTCATCCAACTTCGGACTCGGACGCCATTTACCCCAAGGGTATTGGTGGCCCGGATCCCGGAGAAATACCGAGGGCAACACATACAGCCCTACAGCGGGAAAACGGACCCCCAGGAGCACTACAGCAAATACCAGAACAGCATGATGATGGTGGGGGCATCAGACGAATATTTGTGTCGATGGTTCCTCTCCACCTTAGAGGGACCAGCATACGAATGGTTCAACAGGCTGCCCGAGGGATGCATTGATTCATGGCAAGAACTCGCCCAACGATTCTTGACGCAATTCGCCGGGAGGCGTCGCACAAGGAAGCACTTCTCCCACCTCCTAACAATACGTCAGAAGAAGGATGAGACCCTTCGGGATTTCCTGGAGCGCTGGAGGACGGAGGCCGACAAGGTCGACGGCGCTGATGACGGGACCCTCCTGGCCCTCCTACAAACCGTCCTCCGCACCGGCAACTTTTCAAGGAGCCTCATCATTGAACCCCCCCGCGACTACATAAGGGCCTTGCAGCGGGGGGACCGATATGCTGAGGCCGGGGAGGTGGAGAAGTATCACCAGCATCCGGACCAGCAGCCCCCGAGAGCTGACAACAAGCATAACCGAGGGCCGGGGGCTCCTCCAAATCGCCCCAAGGCTTCGGGACCCTCTGATGACCGCCCTCGGCAAGGCCAAGCCAAGCCCGGGGGAGGTTATAGGAGCAACCCTAAGACTTGGGCCCAGCCCATTCTCCTGGACCGCCCTCGGACCCCATTGGCGCACCCCGTCAGCATCATCCTCGATTTTGCCGAGGAGAGGGGCCTCGTTGAGCGCGATTCTCGCGCACCCCCGGAGGTACACGCTATCAACCCTCAGTTCCCCTACTGTCGCTTCCATCGGCACCAGGGGCACAGGACCGATGACTGCCATCAGCTGAAGACGGCCATCGAGAGGTTAATATAAGCAGGGCACCTGTCCCAATTTGTCCAGAGCCCTCGGCAGGAGGGACCTTCTCATCAGGGGCCTCCCCGAGGGCATCACACGAAGGTGAACGCTTGGGTAAACCCGAATACCATCCCCCTCGGCAAGAAAAGGGAGATTGGAAACTTGGAAGAAGAGGAGGAGGAATACCCCCACTACCAGGAGAAAAAACGCCACATCCTCATGATCACCGGTGGCAATACAGGGGGCGATTCCACCAGCCAACGAAAGAAGTGGGCTCAATCGCTTTACGTGGGGGAAGTCACTCATATGGCCCCGGTAAAGCGACTGAGGGAGGAACCCATCACCTTTACCAACGCGGATCTCCCTCCTACTTCTTCTCCTCACAGGGATGCCTTGGTGATTCGAACGGAGATCAACGACACCATCATTCACCGAACATACGTTGACACGGGCAGCTCCGTCAATGTAATGTACCTCAGCACCTTCAGAGAGCTGCATCTGGAGAGGGGGTCCCTTCGGCCCATTAAGACCCCTCTTGCCGGCTTCACCGGCGATACTATTGATTCCGAGGGGGTAATAACCCTCCCGGTGATCTTCGGCGACGAGCTCCATAGAGCCCAGCTCGAGGTGGAGTTCGTCGTCGTCAACATTGACTGCGTTCACAACATCATCCTCGGCCGGCCAGCCCTCGAGGACCTCGAAGCCATCATCTCCATGAGGCATCTCTGCCTCAAGTTTCCCGCCGAGGGGGGCATTGGCTACTCCCGGGGGAACCAAAAAATTGCCCGCGCCTGCTATCTTCAGGTCACTAAGAAGGTCAGCAAGACGGAATTCCGTGTTGACACCATCACCGGAGCCGTCGACCAAGAGGAAAGAAGGCCGAGGGCTGAACCGGCCGAGGACGTAGAAGACTTTGCGCTCGATCCGGCCCAGCCGGAGAGAGTGGTGAAGATTGGAGCCCAGCTCCCTGAAGATTTGAAGACCGGTATCACCGACGCCCTCCGCGCCTACTCCACTGTCTTTGCA